AAGTCTATCCTTAAGCTCCTGAAATGACTTTTCGCAAGTCTTACTCTATATGAATTTAATTCCCTTCCTTGTCAATTTGGTTAATGGTGAAGCCAATCTAGAGAAATTTTTCACAAAACGTCGATAATACTTAGCTAAGCCTAAGAAACTCCAGATCTCAAAGGCATTCTTAGGTTATTCCTAATCTTACATTGCGTCTATCTAAGATGAATCTATAGTCGCCCTTTCCTCAGATACCACATGGCCTAAGAACTTAACTTCTTTTAACCAAAACTTACACTTTCTGAATATAGCATATAAACAATGTTCTCTAAGCAACTCAAGTACAACTCGTAAGTGTTCCTTGTGTTCCTCCTCGAAGAGTAAGTAGACTAGGATGTCGTTGATGAAGACAACTATGAATCAGTCTAAGAACTCACAAAATATTCGATTAATCAAATCCATAAACGAAGCCGGTGCATTGGTTAGCCCAAAAGGTATTACTAAGAATTCGTAATGGCCATACTGCGTACGGAATGCCATTTTCTAAATATCCTCATTTCTTACCCTCAATTGGTGATCATCTAATCGCAAATTGATCTTTGAAAAACAACGCGACCCCTTCAACTAGTCAAACATATCATCTATTCATGGCAATGGGTACTTGTTCTTAATAGTTACCCAGTTTAACTTCTGGTAATCGATGCACAACCACAACGTGCCATCTTTCTTCTTTGCAAAGAGAGTCGGTGCTCCCCAATGCGAAGTACTAGGGTGGATGTAGCCCTTATCTAATAGTTCTTGGAGTTAAATCTTTAACTCACTCAACTCAGTAGGTGCAAACCTATACGGTGCCATAGAAATCGGTGTCATGCCAGGCACTAAGTCGATAGAGAACTTGATCTCTTGGTGAGGTGGTAAACTATGGGTGTATCTTATGAAGGACAAATGTGAGGTGTTTTATGTGTTTCAAAATTTTCATAAAATGCTTTGCACTCAATTTGGGGCAGTTGTCAAAATTCTGCGTTTTGATAATGGGGGAGAATATATTGATTTTGGACTTGCCAGCTATTTTGCCACTCATGGTATTATTCATCAAACTTCTTGTACCAATACCCCTCAACAGAATGGTGTTGCCGAGCGTAAAAACCGGCATCTTCTTGATATTGCACGTTGTTTATCCTTTGAAATGTGCGTTCCTTGATCCTATTGGAGGGAAGCGGTTCTCACTGCTGCGTTCCTCATCAATCAGCTTCTTACCCAGGTTCTTCATAAACAAACTCCTCTTCAGGTTTTGTTCGGCTTCCAAGCTTTTGCTGCCTTCTCCATTCCTCCCAAAACCTTTGGGTGTGTGTGCTTTGTTCATAATCATTCTCCTACCCGTAGTAAGTTGGATCCTCGGTCTCTTCGGTGTGTCTTCTTGGGTTACTCTGCCACTCAAAAGGGCTACAAGTGTTATCATCCCCCTTCTCGCAAATGGTTTGACTCTATGGATGTGTCTTTCTTTGAATCTCAGTCTTATTTTCTCTCATCCCCGGTGTCCCCGTCATCTCTTCAGGGGGAGCCTTGTTGTGAAGAGATTCCTGTATCACTACCATCACCATCAGTTATTGCGACTCCTGAGACTATTATTACTGATGATCCAACTATTAAGAATGCTGACTTTCCATCTGCAGTGAAAGACAGCAAAGTGTATGTTAGGGACAAGGGTAGACAGAAAGTTACTTGGGTACAAGAGACCAATTCAGATTCTCCACTGCTATCTTCTTCTTCTGATGAGTGTCCAGAATCCTCTCCTTCTGGTGAACCTCCAGGTAACTCAATTCTTTCTGATCTAGATGTTCCCATTGCTAAAAGGAAGGGGGTTAGGTCGTGTACTCAACATCCTATTTCTCATTTTGTCTCCTACACTAATCTGTCTTCTTCCTATAAAGCTTTTTTGTCTAAAGTTTCTTCTGTGAGTCTTCCTTCCAATTTTGAGGATGCTCTTTCTACTCCTGAGTGGAAGCATGCCATGATGGAGGAGATGAGAGCTCTTGCTAAAAATGGCACTTGGGAATTGGTTGCGTTACCTAAGGGCAAACGACCTGTTGGATGTAAGTGGGTGTACACTGTAAAGCACAAAGTCGATGGTTCAATTGAACGTTACAAGGCTAGATTGGTGGCCAAGGGTTTTACTCAGACTTATGAAGTAGACTATCAGGAGACATTTGCATCGGTTGCTAAGATGAATTTTGTCAGAGTCCTTCTCTCCCTTGCCTCTAATCTTGACTGGCCTCTCCATCAATTTGATGTAAAAAATGCTTTCTTCCATGGAGATCTGGCAGAAGAAGTGTACACGGACATTCCCCTCGGTTTTGAGGATGTTAAAACCACAAGAAAGGTGTGTCGGTTACGTAAGTCACTTTATGGCCTTAAGCAGTCTCCTAGGGCTTGGTTTGAGAGGTTTACTCAGGCCATGCTGAGATATGGTTTCAAACAAAGTCAAGCTGATCATACTTTATTTGTGAAACACTCCTCACATGGTAAAACGACAGCCCTCATTGTCTATGTGGATGATATTGTACTCACAGGGGATGATGTTGAGGAGGTTCCTCGGTTAAAGGAGTATTTGGCTAATGAGTTTGAAATCAAAGACTTAGGCAAACTGAAGTACTTTCTAGGCATTGAGGTTGCTCGGTCCAAAGATGGTATCTTCATATGTCAACGAAAGTATGTGCTTGATTTGCTAAAAGAAACTGGAATGCTTGGAAGTAAAGCATGTGATACACCATTAGAACCCGGACTAAAGCTTAGTGAGGATGAAGGAGACGAGCCTGTAGACAGGGGGAGATACCAGAGACTAGTGTGTAAGCTTATTTACTTATCCCATTCGCGGCCTGATATTGCTATTGCAGTGAGTATGGTTAGCCAGTTTATGCATGCTCCGCGTGCAACTCACTTAGAGGCAGTTATGCGGATTCTGAGATACTTGAAATCTTCTCCGGGTAAGGGTCTTAATTTCTTAAAGCATAGTCATCTCAGTGTGGAGGCACATACAGATGTTGATTGGGCTGGCTCAGTAACTGATAGAAAATCCACCTCTGGCTATTGTACCTTCGTTGGTGGAAATCTAGTTACTTGGAGAAGCAAGAAACAAAATGTTGTTGTGCGGTCTAGTGCAGAGGCCAAATTCAGAGGTATGGCTCAAGGTGTGTGTGAGCTTTTATAGATTCGATTATTATTGCGGGATTTAGGGATTCATCAGACAGATTCTATGAGGCTATACTGTGACAATAAGGCTGCCATTAATATAGCCCACAATCCGGTTCAGCTCATCATGATAAGACCAAGCATGCGGAGATCGATCGACATTTTATCAAGGAAAAGCTTACTAGTGGCGCTATATGTATGCCTTTCGTGCGGTCTAGGGATCAATTGGCTGATGTTCTTACCAAAGGATTAGGCATTAAACTGTTCCGTGCCATTCTCGACAAGTTGGGCATGAGAGATATTTTCGCACCATCTTGAGGGGGAGTGTTAGAATGTGTTAGGATATTTCCCATTTTTATTCATTCAGTCTCTTTATTTGCTGTAATGGGCCTTTATTTAGGCCTTAACATATGTTTATGATTTAATATAAAAGGGTATGATTAACCACTCATACCCTAATCTTTTCTCTTCTAAAATTAACAAAATGTACTTAAAAACATTTTCAAAACTTGCTGAAAACAGGGGTCTCGCTCGAGCGGATATGCAGAATGTGCTTGGTCGCTCGAGCGTAGACTCCTTCGCTCGAGCGATCTGCAAAAATGTGAAAAGTACTGGTTGTTGAAAATCTCCGCTCGATGCTCGCTCGAGCGTGAGACACAGTTCTTCGCTCGAGCGCAAGTCTCGTCGCTCGAGCATGCTTCTGCACATGCAAAATTCTGAGAGCTTGCAATTTACGCTCGAGCCAGCATTCCGCCGCTCGAGCGAAAGTCTGAAAACAAAGGTGGTCGCTCGAGCGTGGAATCCCTCGCTCGAGCGAGGAAGCCAAATTCTGGCTTTTCCAGATTTGCTCCCAAAGCTCAAACCATGGATTTAATGTGCCAAAACTCATCCTTTTGGGCCAATTCTCTGGAAAATACTTAGAAACTCATAACACAACATATTTGAAGATCATTTCATAAAATCAAAGCCCAAAAGCGTGTCAATTGTACCAAATTTCAACTAAAACTTTATGAACATTACAAGAACATGACACGCATGAGTTCTCTAGAACTCCATTACCTCAAAGCATGATCAAATGCAAGATTCAACTCAAAAACATGGTGAATTTCTAGAGTACAACCATAATATGACCATGCATGTGGAAATTTTCATAAAAACAATCTCGAAATTCAAAGATATGGACATGCATGCATGGATTGGCTTAGCTTCCCTAGATTCTAGCTCAATTGTCCCATGAATTCACCTATTTCATTTATATACAAGTCCTAGATGGCTCCATTTCAAGATTAAAAGATTGAGCTCTTACCTAGGCTACTCAATCAAGCTTCACTTAAGCCGAATTCTTGAGCAATGAACAATTCTTCAAAGTTTGTTCAATTTCCTCTAAGTTTTCAAGCAATACACTTGTTGTATTCAATTCTCTCATACTCTCCTCTCTCTCTCTCGTTTGTATACAAGGAGATGGTAAAATGATGGTGTCAATTAAGCATGAAGACAAATAGTCTTGTAAGACCCACTAACGGCAACCATGTAATTTAACTTGACTTAAATTAATTAGCATTATAAATTTTAATTTAATCATCCTAAATCGAATTTCAATTAAACTTACCATAATATTCTATAATTTCTAACTAGCATATAACACAAGTCAATTTCTGAATCGGTTGCCGATAAGGTTTTCAATTCCCAATTTGAAATCAAAACATGAACAGATTTTTTCTACTTTGAACAGATAGAAATGCAATCCAAACAACACACTCATGTAATCAGTTTAGGATTTCATTTTAATCAATTACTTATCATGCTAAATCACGATTTAACGCTAATCATAGGTGAGGGTTGTCACATCTATGTTACCGGCGTGGATGATTGAACTCATTCTTCTCATTCGCCAAAGGTATGTGAAACTCTTCTTTCTCTCTCTATATTGACAGACATATATATGTATTTATATGTATCTCTTATCATCTATATCATAATTTTTTTGAATAAACAAAGAATAACACATTCTCAACATAGTTTTGGTGGTTTTGATCTTCTAATTAATTGGGTTTGTAATTTTTGGTGCTAATTTTGAATGTTGAAGTTCAAATTTTGGTCCTCTGTTTTGTCAAATTTTTGTTCTTTGATTTGATCTTCTAATTTTGAATTTTGAAGTTCAAATTTTGGTCCTTTATTTTGATCTTCTATGTTTTCATTTTTGGGTTTTGTTTATTTTGCTACATAGTCTGCATATGGATGCACAATTTTACGTTTGTGTTTGTGTTTGTGTTTGTAAATTTGTATTTTCTTTTTGGCATCTCATATTGGATATGATGTTTGGTTTGGATAGAATTATTGATGGCTTAGGATACTTCTATTTTAGAGGTGCTTGGATTGAGTGATTTGATGAGAAATAGTAAGAAATTAAGTGAAAGTGAACTCCTTTCTAGAAGTTTCTTGAATTATGAAGTTATGCATGATGGAACTCAAGACTGTTAAATTATGTAGCATACTGATGGAAATATAATACTATATACACAGCAGAAAATAATATGGATTCAGACAAACCTTGTTGGTAAACAGATTGCACAATGAATCCAGCTTAGAAGGTGAATCACGTACTCTTGAATAATCTTCACAGCAATGGAGTAAAACTACTAGAGTTTTACCCACACCAATCACAGTACAAAGGCAGAATAATTTATGGGAAGAGAGAACGTATGTTTCTTTTTGTTATTTCAAAAACAGAATTCAAGATCTGTTTATATGGGGAAGTTAGGAGACCCATAAGATAGATATATTATCCCAGATAATATCTATCCCATATCTATAATATCTTATCAATAATTATCATATATTATATTAACAATTATCCATATCAAGATTATCCCATATCTTGATATATATATATATATATATATAATTTGTTACTGATATTTGGATCTCTCCTAATTGGGTCATGCCACCATGGGCGACCCAATTGAGTCTGGGTTTTAAACCCAACCCAATTTCCAACATCTTCCACTCGAACATGCGTTGGCATGACACCGCGCCTTTTATATCTCAATCTACCCAATAAACGCGATCATACTTAGCCAATGGACTGTGCGACCGTTGAGGATACCTGCATGTGGGAGCTCTACACTAGGAACTCGTCACGAGCCAGTATAGAGGCATCAACCTAAAGATAGTATCTCATATGCCCTAGATCCATCTAGTTACACCGAGTCAAGCATCTCTGATCCCTCAATGAGCAAGCTTTACTCCTCCAATCATGCTATGTATTCACACCCAATCTGCGTCCCATATAGAGCGATGTGAGTTGTCGACAGTGAATATAGAGCAGATGTGTAATTCTAGACAATCTTCCTTTCGCCCTCATGTCACTTAGTTCGAAGTTAATTGCTTTCCTGGAGATGTTCCTCAAAGTCAAATCATACATGACCATGGGCAACATACCAAAGTAGCTAACATTGACTTCTTACTTTATGACATAGTCTGAAAGTTGCTAAGGGTATAGTACAAATGTCAAAATTTAAAGCATATTTTTGACGTATTTAGACTTACACGATGAGGAAAAATTGGGATCCTTTCTCTCACCTCACTAATTGGTCGCCAAGCACATGTAGTATGAATACATGCTACAGTGGAGTTATTCTTCTAAAGAGTGATGTCATCCTCAAAACACCGTACAGATCTTAGTTCAGTCACTAACTAGCGCACATGTCGCTTTTCAAGCGCCTAACTCGAGTTCTTTATTCAGCCGTTATCCGGGCGCTAAAATGAGATATCGCATCTGGCCATCATCTATAGGCACGACATGGAAAGTACATATTCCTATCCATGGTCGGTCAAGTAACATGACCTCATCTTGGTAAACCAAGGCGACTTTAGCTGTGGATGATCTAAGTTGGAAGTAACTCCCACTATGATCTAACAACCATATATCTCATTTTTGCTCGCTCCATCGAGCGCCAAAAGCGATTGCTCGTGTGAGTGAGCCAATCTTGCCTATTAACATCAATCAACAAATCTGTATGTGCTCTTTCACAAGTCATATCCAAACATAGAAAAATGAATAGAACAAGCATAAATACTGATTGCATAAATAATATCCTAAACATTGGAAAGTACATAAGTAATCATCCAAGTTAAAAAAAACACATAAGCATCACTGCCATCTATGTAAACCCAAAGACCTAACATGAGTACAATGAGCATCTCTCGAAATGGGTTTGGTCAATGGGTCCGCAACCATGCGACTAGTAGAAATGTGTTTTAAGACAACTTGCTTCTGCGCCACTATTTCTCTGATGAAGTTAAACATTATGTCTATATGTGTAACAATTCTCTATTTCTCTTTATACATTAAAATTTCTACAATATGTTTGGTTCTTCTATGATACTTAGGATCTTTGGCATAGGCGAGTGTAGCCATGCTGTCACAATGAATAGTGACAGGGTCTGTGGCTTCTGAGGCTACTCCCAAATGCTGTAAGAACCTTCGTAACCAAACAGCCTCCTGTACGGTAGCTGAGCATGCCACAAACTCTGCCTCCATGGTAGATAGGGAAATACATGATTGCTTCTTACTGCTCCAGGTAATGGCTCCACCACCGAGCATGAAAGCATATCCAGATGTGGACTTCCGCTCATCTATATCACCACCCCAATCAGCATCACTGTAGCCAACTAGGCGTAAATCCGTACTCTGGTAACAAAGCATATAATCTGCAGTCCCTTTGAGGTAACGCAATATCCTCTTGACTGCATTCCAATGAGCAGGTCCTGGATCGGACTGGTAACAACTTACCAATCCCATTGCATAACATATATCTGGCCGAGTACACATCATAGCATACATCAAGCTTCCAACTGCATTAGCATAGGGTACTTGGGCCATCCTTTCTTTTTCTTCTGGAGTCTTTGGTCTCATATTAAGGCTTAGGCTCTCACCTTTAGCTAAAGGAGTGTCAACAGGTTTGCAGCTTTGCATTCGAAATCGCTCTAAGATATTCTTAATGTAAGTCTCTTGAGACAAACCGACAAGTCTCTTAGAGCGATCTCTCAGGATCTTAACCCCGAGTACATAGCTAGCTTCACCCATGTCCTTCATCTCGAAGGTTGAGGACAACCACCCTTTAGTGGCGCCAATCATCTCCTTATCATTTCCGGCCAATAGTATATCATCAGCATATAATGACAAAATCAAAAAACTATCCTTGGATTGTTTAACATACACACAGTGGTCTTCATCGATCATGGTAAACCCATCGGTGATAATTGCTCGATGAAATCTCAGATACCACTGTCTAGATGATTGCTTTAAACCATAAATAGATCTTTGAAGCTTGCAAACTCTGCGCTCCATTCTAGCTCCAAATATCAGTAACAGATTATATATATATATATATATATATCAAGATATGGGACAATCTTGATATGGGATAATTGTTAATATAATATATGATAATTATTGATTAGATATTATAGATATAGGATAGATATTATCTGGGATAATATATCTATCTTTTAGGTCTCCTAACTCTCCCATATAAACAGATCTTGAATTCTGTTTTTGAAATAACAAAAAGAAACATACGTTCTCTCTTCCCATAAACTATTCTGCCTTTGTACTATGATTGGTGTGGGTAAAACTCTAGTAGTTTTACTCCATTGCTGTGGAGATTATTCAAGAGTATGTGATTCACCTTCTAAGCTGGATTCATTGTGCAATCTGTTTACCAATAAGGTTTGTCTGAATCCATATTATTTTCCGCTGTGTATATAGTATTATATTTCCATCACATACCAAGAGCAAAATTAATGGGAAGGGGGAAAGCAAACTAATTTCTTTGTGATTTAGCAACTTAAATTAGTTCTTGCCTCTTGCTTGAATAAAGTATTTCTACTCTTTCTGAGAACTATCGTTTGTGAACAGGCTTTTGTAGTAACTTTTTGGCTAAAATATAATGTAAAAAAACTAATATGTTTGGGATGACTTTTTGATTTTTTACGAAAAGATGTGCAAAAAGTAGAGAGAAAATGAAATTTTAACTTTTTGGTATAGGTTGTTGGTTTTTTGGTTTTTTTTAGTGATTTTTTGGCTTTTTGGCTAAAATCACCACTTGCCAAACGAGGCATTATGTTAGGTTGCTTATGTGGAGTCCTGTCTTTTGAACCTGCATCACTTGTTTCTGAGAGTTGTGAAATATAAAATGTACAATTGTCTACTCACATTTGTTTTGAAGTTGGGTTGGATGCATTCGTACTTAGAACTCAAATTGCAGAATAAGGTTACTACAGGACAGAATCCAGAATTAGAATACTTACTTACCAGTCTAAAGTTTCTTGTATATTTTTTGAAACAAGATCAATAAACAAGAAGCCAAAAAACCATTGGGAAAAACCCTCGTGAAGAGAAAGAGGATCCAGTGTACTTGAGCTTGTAACTTCAGTGGAGTACTTGTCATTCTGATTTGCTATCATCTGCTTTCTCTATTAAATTGTGAAGGAATAAACATGAATGAAACACCCCTTAGCTTATTTGAATAACCTCTTCCTTATTCCTTGGAACAGTGTAACTTTTATGCTGATGCAATTTTCTTTGATAAAAAAAGTTTTAAATGGTGCCAAGTTTCCCCTTCACTTATCATTTTAATAATTTTTTTCTAAGACATCATGTATTAATAAAGGGTAAATTACAAACACACTCTTTGAGGTTTACTTAAATTACAAATTATCCCCTATGGTTTTACAAATTACATTATGCACCCTAAGGTTTCTAATGTCATAATAAGTAAGTCCTTATATTAATAAATCATCAAGTTAATTAATAGTTTTTAATAATGTTAAATTTTATTTCAATTAATAATTCAGATAATTTTATTATTGTATAGGTGAACAGTTTGAAATTTCACCTTTTCAATTAATTCTGTTAAATAAAAAATTCTCACAGGGAGGTATTTGTAATTTTTCAAATTATAGGGGGCAATTCGTATTCTAAGCAAACTTCAGGGGGTGTATTTGTAATTTACCCATTAATGAATCATGTATTTTGCTCTTCTATAATTAGAATTTCCCCCCAACAGAAGACGTGCTAGGCAAACAGAACTTGAAGCATTGGAAGTGAATGTCTTTGTGGAGGAGGATGACCATATCGATGTGAATAATGATTATGTTGACGACGATGTCGGTGTGGAGAATGACGATGTCGATAATGATATTGGTGTAGAGGCTGACCTCATGGATGACGATATTGGTGTAGATGATGACAACACATAACCAGTTTCGGGTGCTCCAGAAGATCCTTCGTTGCTAATTAGCTTTCGTAACCATGTTGCTGCTGTTTGGAAGAAAAAGGTATATTTGAATTTTTTTCTAATTACCTTACATTTAAAAAAATATTGAATGTGCAAATGTATAAAAAGCGGAAATTTTCTAATTATAGAAAAGCAAAATACATGTATTAATAATTTTAATAAATTCTAATAATTTTTTTAATTTTAATAAATTAAATACATGTATTTAATATTTTTTTTTAAATGTATTTAATTACATTTAAAAACATTTAATAAATGTATTTTGCTCTTCTATAATTAGAAATTTTCTTCTTTTTAAACATTTGCACATTCAATATATATATATTTTTAAATTGAATGTTATCTATGAAATTATGGTTTTTTTGCTGATATTGTTTACATCAGTCATTTATATATTCGAGTTTTTGTTAATATTGGATTTAATGTTTTTTTTAACATAGAAATGGTTAGTGGTGTCTCACATAAGAGACCAACGGCATCCAACAGAAGATGTGCTAGGCAAACAGAACCTAAAGTATTGGAAGTGAATGTCCCTGTGGAGAAGGATGACCATGTCGATGTGAATAATGATTATGTTGATGACGATGTTGGTATGGAGGATGACAACGTCGATAATGATATTGATGTAGAGGCTGACCTCATGGAGGACGATATTGGTGTGGATGATGACAACACATAACCAGTTTCGGGTGCTCTAGAGGATCCTTCATTGCTAATTAGCTTCCGTAACCATGTTGCTGCCGCTGTTTTGAAGAAAAAGGTATTTTTTGAATTTCTCAACAACAAACTAATCATATGTACTGTATGCTTCAAATTATTTATATATTTTATGTAAAATGCAGGAATGGGAACCTCTTAAATGTTTGAATCGTTCTCGAAAGCTTGCCGAGTGGCCATGGATGTCACCAATAGTCAAAAATGCTTGGTGGAGACATTTAGTTGATCAGTTTAGTCTTAGTGTCCTTATTGATCACACATATCGGTATGGCAATAGAGTGGCAATATTTGCCTTTGTCGAAAGGTGGCATCCAAAGACAAATACATTTCACATGCCAGATGGTGAGATGACTATCACGTTGGATGATGTGCGGACCATACTTGGCATTCCAGTCACTGGTAGGGCTTTGTCATGTCCTAAGTCAACAAGATACGAGGTTGCTGAACTAGTGAGTGCTACTTTGGGAGTGTCAGTGAATGATGCATTTGCATAATTAGTTCAATCTCGTGGGCAATCCGTGAAGCTAGAGTGGTTAAGAATCATATTTCATGAAGTTAAAGATACAAATGATGCAAATTTCATATAATACGCAGCCAAGCTTACTTGCTATATTTATTAGGTTGTACCCTCTTCGCTGACAAGAGTGGGACTCGAGTACCCGTTGCTTACCTGCACATGTTGACTAACATTGATGCTGTTAGCTCATATGTATGGGGTGCTGCAGCTTTGGCATTTCTGTATAGGCAATTAGGACTTGCTAGTAGGGCTGGTGTTAAGCAGATTGCTAGTTACTTGAAGCTATTAGAAGCATGGATTTATGAGCTTGTTCGTTTAGGAAGGCCTCATCCAAATTTGTCCTATTTTGATGCACAACCTTGTGTTTGTCGTTGGAGTTCGTAGAGAGATGGGGGTTTTACAGAAGACCACTTGCAGACATTATGAGAGTAGCTTGACATATTACGTGATAATGAGGTTAGGCATTTTATAATAGTGTCATATTGTTAAAAAAAAAAAAAGGATTTTATAACTAACATTATGCATTGCATATTTGTAGATCAAGTGAGATCCATACTGTTTATGTAGTACACACCATCCGCTTTATGAGGTTGCATATTATATTGGATGTTTGAAATGCTTTAATATTATCGAACCCTATCACCCCAATACGGTTTTGCGATAGTTTGGTAGGGTCTAAACCATCCCACCAGCACCATTATCTCCTGTTCGAGCTACACGAGGCAGTAAACTAGGACAGTACAAAATCATGTATCAATACCATGACACGATATGGGTGCAATGGGAGAATCATGTGTTGTCCATTAATGCTCGTAGTGTGCCTGTACAGTAAAGCCCATCTGAATCTGTACGGGGTTACCGTTAGTAGTATGCTCGTGTTTCGCACCGGGTTGTTCAAAATCCTACGCATCACTCTCAGTTTGATGCACGTGTTCAACGTCCCGAGAATGATGTTAATATGGATCCTGAGTGGGTAAGCGAATTATGAATTAACTTATTTCACTTTTAAGTGGTTCACATAAATCAAACACTAGGTACGGTTTTTATGAATTTCTTTTCAACGTAATGATGCTGCTTTCAGTGTTGGTGCTGCAGTCCATAGGCTCGGTCGTGATGAGTGTGTCTTGCACCCTGATATGTTGTATGAAACCATTGGTAGGATGCTGCAAGTTCTTGATGGACAGAGTTTGGGATCTACATCGACACGTACAGAGCATCAAGTCTACTGTTGTAAACGTCGTAGGATGGACCATGCATGAGGAGTGGGATCTAGTTTTTTTTTTTTTTATGTCATAGATATGCGTTGACCGTACATGAGAGTTGGGATCTAGTTTTTGTTTGATGGCATAGTTTTTGTGAATGCCTAGCCCGTATAGAGTTTGGGATATACTTTTGTGTTGACCATACATGAGAGTTGGGATCTAGTTTTTTTTTTTTTTTTTTTTTATGGCATAGTTTTTGTGAATGCCTAGCCCGTATAGAGTTTGGGATATACTTTTGCCTAATGGCATAGTTTTTGTGGATGTCTTGAATCTTTGGTAAACTAGATGTTTGGTTAGACAAGTAATAAAGTGTCATACTTTTGTATGAATTTTAAACAATTTCACATTTATTTTGTATTCAATATTGATGTGATGATTTTAATGAAAATTTATTTTGGTGAACATATAGATTTGTTATTGTTTGTAATGCACTGTAATGATATTAAAGTGTTTTGGAGTGATATGGTACCACTTTCTGAAAGTAAAATTGTTTTTTTCAGTGCTATGGGCCAGTTCAGTGGCACACTGCTAAACAATTTCCATTATTCTGGTATTCTGTTGCCGGAAAAAATGGATCCCTCCAGCATTTTGTTGCTACACATTTACAAAGCCACTCTCTCCTAAACAATGTTTTTTAATTTGTGCTGGGCCTATTCAGTAATATAATGCTAAACAATTTGAATTACTCTAGTGCCATGTTACTAGATAAAAAAAAATTCCCATCGTTATGTTGCCATTCAATTGGATAATACTTAGAAAATATGAGGAAGAAGAACTCCGAAAAATATGAGGAGGAAGGAATATATTTCTGTTATATTCAAAACTTCTTATCTTACAAGACCAAATGACACTCCTTATATAGGAGATATTACAAACATCATTATAACCCATTATATGCCACTTACATATTATATATTACCACTATCTACCACTATCATATTATATACATGCCACCAACACCACTATCATATTCTATACATGCCACCAACACCACTATCATATTCTATACATGCCACTATCTTATTATATACATTAACACAAATTTCCAGCAATAATTTAAGTTTGCTTTATAGCAAAACTAGTGGAGCCCACATTGAAGTGCATGTTCGGTCACACAATGCGAAACAATTTACATAACTTCGGTGTTGTAACACCGGAATAAATTGGTTTGTCCAGCGTTTTGTTGCTATACATTTACAAAGCCACTTCCTTCCAAATAATGTGGTAATAATTTCTGCTGGGCCTGTTCGATAATAAATGGCTAATGAATTTCAATTATTCCAGTGTTGTGTTACCAGACAAATTATTTTTCCCAACATTATGTTGTCGTACAATTGGATAATTTCAATTTGCTCCACAACAAAGTCAGTGGAGCCCACTGTGAAGTGTTTGTTCGGTCACACGGTATTAGACAATATACATTTTTCTGGTGTTATGTTGCTGGAAAAAATAGGTTTGTCTAGCGTTTTCCGCAGATAATCTGCCAACAAATTGTTGGCATATTACAATCACTGAAAGTCACTTAGTATTTTATTAGCCAAAAGGCACTAGGGTCTGTAATCATTGTTATGCCCTCAGGGATCATCTTGTAATTGTCTTGTTTGTAAACCCTAATCTTCATTTATAAATAAGGGGTGATATCTCATCATACCCTAAGCTGATTATTCGAGCTTCATGGTATCAGAGCTGAACCTATAGGGTTTCGGCTCACCCTCGTTGGTAGACCTTTTCACCAACAACACTCTAGGGTTCGAAGCTTACCTGGGTGGATCTTCCTCAGCCGTCTTCCTCAGTCGATCTCCTCATCCCCTCAGCTCGTCTTCCTCAGCCGTCTTCCTCGTCGACCTCCTCTGTCGATCGTCACTCGGCCGACAGCACCGCAGCTCGGCGACCTCCTCCAGCCATTTCGTCGATCCTCTTCTTCGTCGTCCTCAGCCTCTGATCTCACTGTGGTATATAAATATATATATATACCTATATATCCTGATATATATATATACTAGTGTATGCCCGTGCCTAAAGGCACCGTGTAAATAATATTAAGATTATAATTTAGTTGTAATTTGTTATTTAACAGACTGTATTCTACAATTCCAAACAAATTAAATATAAAAAAAAATTAAATATCAAATAATGCACACCAGCCAGTGCTCTACAATTTAAAAGAAATTAAAATTAAAATGCACACCAGTTAC